ACAAAAAGGAGGGGAACCAACCCTTTGAAAGGGTAGATAACAGCAGGACGAGGGGAAATGGTTTTAAGTTGAGAGAGGGAAGATTTAGGTTGGATGTCAGGGGGAAGTTCTTTACAGAGAGAGTAGTGAGGTGCTGCAACAGGCTGCCCAGAGAGGTTGTGTCCCTGGAGGTGTTCAAGGCCAGGTTGGATGGGGCCCTGGGCAGCCTGGTCTAGTATTAAATGGGGAGGTTGGTGGCCCTGCATGTGGCAGGGGGGTTGGAGATTCATGATCCTTGAAGTCCCTTCCAACCCTGGCCATTCTGTGAAAAGTTCATCAACAGTCATTATAAACAATAATGCTACCTAGAGTTCTTGAAAAATACTAACTTTAACATGGTGAAGTACATACCAGTACCTTTTTTTTTTTTTCAGGTCTTTCTTCTAAATCAGCGGCCAGAGGTTACTGTTGGAAACAGAACTCAGCCGGGCAGAGGTCTGGTCTAATCCAGCCATAATATTACGGCATATATCCAGCTAGCCTTGCCAGATGATGACCTGGAAGACTTCAGCAAGTCTCAGCATTGAAATGATTCATTAGTCTGAATTCCTTCCAACAGGTAACCTGCTATAATATAATCAGAGCTGCTCCATCTCTTCCTCTCATCTTTACTATTACTCAAGAGTCGAAATCTGAGAAACTGCCCCAGAGAAGACAAGATGCCATGAGAAACAGAACTTCTTTGTGGAAGGAGGAGTGTCACATCCCTAAACTCCAAGGAAGGCAGGTGAAAAGAAAACCCCCTACAAACTGTCAGGACAGATGTTACAAACAATTTGTTATAAAGTTTTAAGAATACTGACATGCTCCTTTATGCTGCTGTTCTACCAACTTACTGAAACATCTGAAAGAGAACTTAGTTTGACACTGTCAGACTATCAGCTTCATCCTGACATCCCCCTTGGAAGGACAACAGACATCCCAAACAGAGAAGTCCCCAAGAAGAGAAAAATGTATAAATTCCCTCCACTGTCAGCCCCCAAAAGACCAGAACATTTAAAAACGTGTTAATAAGGGAATTCTGCAAAAGCCTTTGCTCAGGTGTTCTAGAACCCACCCTTCAATGAAACCACACCACACAGAAGAGCTGAGGATGACAGGGACCTCTGCACACTGCTCAGCTCCAACTGCTGCCAAAAAGAGAACGTGCTTCAAAGTTGGATCAGGTTGCTCACAGTCTCATTCAGTCAAGTTTTAGATTTCCCCAAAGATGAGAGATCCCATAGCAGGCAGCCTGCTTCACTGCCTCCCCCAGACACACTTACTGTGCAAATTTCTTCCTTCTGTGCAGCTGGAATTTCCCTCTCTGAAACCTGTAACCTCTTGTCTTTTCACTATGCATCTCTAAGGAAAGCCTGGCATTTCCAGTACCCAGCCAGCCTGAGCTGGCAAGTTAATTTTACAGCGAAGGTGTATGATGCAACGGAGCCAAGCTGACAGCTCAGCAGTGCTAATGGGGCACAGCAGCCCTGCACATGTCCAACAATCTAATTTCAGCCCCCTGCTTGTGCTAGCTCTGCAATTTAAATGGCTGCAGAGATCATCAATTCATCTTGCTAACCTGACAGAAATCCATTCCCTTGCTTAATTCCTGTGTCCTCTTTGCAATATTAATATGTTCAGCACAGGGTCACAAGGGAGAAGGTGGAACTGCAGGTGGGAACAGAACATCCCTTTCCAGAAGAGGCCAGGCAAGAACCAGCTGGGAGCCGTGAATTCAGATGTACGTGACAGAGAACATCATTTGCTCAAACAGCTGCAATCTGTCAGCAATACCTGAAGTCTTATGCACACTTCAGACTCCATCACCTACAGGATGAAGTACACATGTCTTTCCTTAATCACAGTTATTTCGGTTGGAAAAAACCTTCAAGATGGTGCAACTTATCCTCCTAATCCACAAAGGCAGTTATTAAAACAGTGCTTAACTGGTACTAATTACATTCAGCACTAATTACCACCTGAGCTAAACAGGACATAAGAGATGGAATCCATATGTTACAGCCAAGGGATGCCGTGCTGTTTGGAAACACAGCCGCACTGCTCTAAGCTTGGTTCATACAGACACAGCTATGCATGGCCCTCACTGAGCCGAAGTCACTCAGGGCAAAGGCACCCATCAGTCATGGCACTGCTCCACAGCACATCAGGTTTTAAGTTATGAGGCACTGCGGGGAGCTTCAAACACACACAGTTTGAAAAGGAATCAAGTTTCACAAGTGCCTACTTTTTAATATGGCAAATGCACACACCAAAGAACACCGCTATAGGACTGGCATTCAAAGCCATATTTGGAAGCTAATGACAACTCAGACTTATCTTTTTAACAGCTCTAACTTGCACCAAATTTCAATCTTTTTGCTAACCCTGCCTTTTGAACGAAGGCTACCTAGAATCTGCCGAAAGGCATTACAGCAACAAAGGACAAGGGCTCTTAAACAGCTGTAGGAGAGAGAATAGACTGACATCCTTCCACTTCTCACAAGCTGCATACCATGGTCTGTAAGGCCCATAAGGATCAGCAGTTTGTGAGGTGAGAATAAACATATCCCATACCTGACACACAGAAAGTAGTTTTCCAAAGCAAATCTCTACTCACCCAGAGCAATAAAAATAGAATTATCAAAACATCTAATATCAGAGATTTAGAGAGCTCAAAGTAATCAATACTTACCCTCAAGGAAGGTTAATTGAATGTTTTTACTTTTTTTTTTTTTTATAATTATTATTAGCATACCTGAATTCCTCTAGTCCCCAATTCCCCTACAGCTCAGTATTTCAGTATGAAATGATGCAAACTACGACGACTCCCTGCTCTGATACCACGCGGCTCCTCTGGTGTCCTCACAGCCATGCAGAGGACCAAGCCTGTTGCCAGTGTCACCCGCCCAGGGTGACATCTCCTCCCCCAGTCTCCCTGCCATTCCCTGCCCTCTTCAAGCATTCACAGCTCTGCCCTCTCCCAGTTTTCAGCTATGGCTCCCTCCAAGGTGCCAGTCCCCAGACGCCTTCACTATCAGCACCAGTTTCACCACCCTCCCCTAAGGTATTTTTCACCTTTCAAACTAATCCTATCATGTTGTTGGCTTTGTGCCTCCCAGCTGCCACACATCATTACCCATTGCCCCCAGCTCCCAAAAGACCCTTCACAGATCTCACCAAGGGGCAGAGAAAATGTAAATGAAGGTTATCACTACCCAGGTGCAATCCTGCAGCAGGATTTTGCAGTTTGCTCACAGCTGCTGAGAAGGTGTGGACACAGCATGCACAGCCCTTCAGGGCTAGGGCCCTATACCGAGCGCCATATAGCCTCACAGCAGCCAGGTTGAGCTCTTCCAAGGAGCCCCAGAGACCCCCAGAAACACAGAGCACAGGGCAGAACCCTGAGCAGCTCTTGCAGCCTCCGTGGCCAGCCCCAGGCTTGGTGTGGGCTCCTCAGCCCCAAACAGTCTCCAGAAATGACTGCTTCACATGGCTTCACCGGGAGCAGGGACTTAACTGACTCCTGCCCTTTTCATGCTGCCCATGGGTCTTCTGAGAGCAACAGTGGAAAAAAAACTACAACAAGCAAACCAGCAGCTAAGAGCTGCAACGAGTCCATGTTCACACAGATGAAGGCTGGAGGAAGAGTGGGAGAGATCACATAATCATTAAGGTTGGAAAAGACCACTAAGATTACCCAGCCTTACCATCAAACCATGCCCACTAACCACGTCCCTCAGTTCCACATCTCCACATTTCTTGAATACCTCCAGAAATGATGACTGCCCCACCTCCCTGGGCAGCCTGTGCCTCACCACTGTTTCTGAGAAGAACCTTCCCTGGCTCAACCTGAGGCCATTTGCGGCTCCTCCTATCACTGTTACCTGGGAGAAGAGCTGACCTTCACCTCAACACAACCTCCCTTCAGGTGCTGTAGAGCGCAGTAAGGTCTCCCCTGAGCCTCCTATTCTCCAGACTGAACAATCCCAGATCCCTCAGCTGCTCCCCATAAAAATTCATGTGCTTCAGTGCCTTCACAGCTCCACTGCCCAGAGAAGGACACATTCCAGGGCCTCAATATCTTTCTTCCAATATAGCGAGGGGCCCAAAACTGGACACGGCACTCGAGGTGTCGCCCCACCAGAGATGAGTGCAGAAGGATGATCCCCTCCCTGCTCCTGTTCACTGCACTATTGCTAGTACAAGCCAGGATACCGTTGGCCATCTTAGCCACCTGGGCACACTGCTGGCTCACGTTCAGCCAGCTGTGTGCCCATTACCTTTATCACCAAAGATCCTAAAACCCGCATCTGCTCTTCATCGGGAACGCAAGCAGTGCCATAGGAGCCTGGTACTTTCTCCCAGTACCAGCACTTTTATTAACACTACACCACAACGCGTTCCCTCGGTGGCACTGCCAGGCCGGGGGCACGCAGCACCGGGCTCCCTAGCACAGACACAAAGCACTGGAAACACCGCACCATCTCGGACTCCGGATACTACCGAGAGCAGTACCCAGCCAGCCCAGCGCCGCCACCACGCTCCGCGGCGCGCGGGACATCACGCAGCTCGGCACGAAGGACGGCGCGGGGCAGCGCGCCGCTTTACGTCCACGGGGACGAAAAACTTTTACGCGGCGCAGAACGCCGCATCTCGGCGCGACCCACCGCCGGGCCGGCTGCTTGCCCCGCGCCGCGGCCTCACCCCGCAGCGGCACGGTGCCCAGCGCCCGCCGCGCACCGCCGGGCCCGGCCCGGCAGCATCCCGCTCCCCCAGGTGCCGCGCTCCCTCCAGCGCCGGGAGAGCTCCGGAAGCGGAGCGGCGCGGCCCGCCCCTGCCCGGCTCCAAGCGGCGGGCAGCGCGCCCCGGGTGGACCCGCGGGCACTGGGGGGGAAGGAGGGTCGGTCCGGCGGAGGGAGGACGGGGACGGAGAAGAAGGGAAGGGAAAGGGGAGCGGCGGCGCCGGCCGGCCGCCTCACCATCAGCACTTTGGCCGCGTTCTCCAGCTGGGCGATCACCTCGGGGGCCCCCCCTGCCGCCACGGCCGCCGCCATCATGGTCTCTCTTCAATGACGCGCCATGCGCTGCATTCTGGGACGACGCGGCCGCCCAGCCAATCCCGGGCGCGGCGCGGCGCGGCGCGGCCCCGGCGCGGAGGCGAAGCGGCGGCGGCGCCGGAGGCAGCGTGACCGCCGGCCGCCAGCCAGGGCCCGCCGGACGAGGCCCCCGCCCCTGCGCGCCTTCCTCCCGCCGCCGCCAGACCGCCTCCGGGGCGGGCCTCGAGCACGCGGTGCGCCCGGGGCGGAGCCGCCGCTACGCCGCCGGTTGGAGGCCGCCGCGGCGCCGCGTGAGAGGGTCCGGGGATGCGGTTGCAGGTCGTGGTGGGGAATGGAGAACGTGGGCTGCGACTTTCCGAAGTTGTAACTGCTTTGCGGTTAGCGCAGGTGAAAGCCCGAGGAGGTTTGCAAGGGATGGAAATCTCTGGACTTCACGTGTAACTCCGTCTGGAGCTCACCTCGTGTTGTCCAGATGGGGGTTACTGGATGGCATCACCTCTAGAGAGCGTCCAGGAGAGAAGCTGCACATCTGCAGGAGCACAGGGACTCGGGCTGTGCCTGTGCTGGTGTTTCTGGGTGTTGAGCTGGACATAAACAGCAGTGTGCCCTCACAGCCCAGAAAGCCAACTGCATCCTGGGCTGCATCCAAAGCAGCATGGCCAGCAGGATGAGGGAATGATCCTGCCCCTCTGCTCTGCACTGTGAGACCTCACTTGCAGTTCTGCGTCCAGGTGTGGAGTCTTCAGTACAGGAGAGACATGGAGCTGTTGGAACATACCCAAAGAAGGGCCACAAAAATGATTCAAAGGATGGAACCCCTTTCCTACGAGGACAGGCGGAGGTTGGGGCTGTGGAAAGGCTCCGGGGAAACTGAACAGTGGCCTTTCAGTATCTAACAGGAGCTACAGGAAAGGGGATGTACTCTTTAGCAGGGTGTGTTGGGATAGAACAAGGGGAAGTGTTTTGAAACTAAAAGAGGGGAGATTTAAACTGGATGTAAGGAAGAAGGTTGTTGTTATTGTTTTTTTTTACAATAAGGGCAGTGAGGCACTGGAAAAGGTTGCCCAGAGTGGTGGTGGATGCCCTGTTTCTGGAAGCATTTAAGGTCCAGTCTGGATGGGGTGCTGAGCAAGCTGATGGACCTGTAGATGTGATGATTCATGGCAGGGAAGTTGGTCTAGATGGCCTTTAACGGTTCCGATGATTCTATCGTTCTTTAAGGGTAGGAGTTTGCTTCTCACATCTGATGTTGCACACTCAGTTTGCATGCTGGAGCAGCCTTTGGAGCACACAAGCTGTGATACCTGCAGATGAATTGGAAGACCTGTAGCAGCAAAGCACAGAACGCCTGGGCCCACCCACAGCTCCCTCAGCACCAGTCCCTCACAGGGCAGCGCCGCTGCTCTGCTCCCTGGGCCCTGCTCTTGTACCGTGCCTCCATCCAGGGCTCTCCCAGCACTAGGATGAGGTCAGCTGGCCTCTGCTGCTGGGGTTACACAAAGTTTGGGACACAGCAGCTCGCTTTGCGCACTTTGACGTTCACAGGCTGTTGGTGCAAGATGAGTGTAGATACAGTGTACCGATGGGGGTGAGGGGAGGGAAGAAAAGATCAAGAAAATAGGATGTAAGAAAGAAATACAGCTTACTGAATAGAGGAATGAAAGGAAAGGTGTCTGTGTGTTCACTCAAGAAGTGCAGCTTTCAGTGCCTAAGAAGCAGCGCTAAACAAGATTAGAAATAGCAATTGAACTCTGTGATTTTGATTTTGTGGTTTACCTAGGACACATTGTAATTCATGCTGAAACATTTAATGTGTTTCAGGGTACTCTCCATTCTTATTTCCTTCTTCAAGGGTGTGGGGAGATCAGCAGGGCTGCTCTGGAAGGAGAGATAAGTACAAGGACAATTGAACTTACGCTCAGAGATGGAGGAGCTCAGAGATGGTGAAATTGTGACAACACTCCTAAGTCCTGAAGTGTGTTTATAGGACAAGTGGAGCAATATACAAGTGCTACACTAAAAAATAGCAAAGAAGAGCTAAAGAATTAGAAATTTGCATGCAAAGAGGTAACGTCAAAAACAAATTGAAGAGTATTGGAAAAGCTATTCTAAGAAATTATGTGTTCAGTAAAGGACGGCTTCAGCTGAGTACTTCTGTACTTGTAGCTTGTATTCCTAATGAGATCCTTCATTCTGCTGCTCTTGGAAAGCAACAGAAACAGTGAGGTGTTGTTCAGGTTGAGGCGTGCTCAAGAGGTCCCCATGCCAATCTTCTGCCCAACAGACCATGTTGCTCAGGGCTTTGTCCACGTGGGTCTTGCTTTTTAGCATATGCACGAGTAGAGTAATCTCTCTAATGAAGAAATGGCCGTGTTCACATAGTTACATTTTCTCTCAGCTGTATCACTGTCTCCATGTTCTCTTGAAAAGCTGATTGTTCATGTATCTTGTCAGAGGGAATGCTGAAGCTATTTCTGCAGTTGGCTAAAAAGATGCATCGTTCTTCCTTAACACTTCCTGCTTTTGTGGTGTTAATACTCCTAAAATAGTTCAAAACTTTCGGACTCGCAGCCAAGCCAGAAAGAGTGCTATTGATAATGGGACCTGTGCTTCCTGCTTTAGCAATCCTCTGTCTTGCTTTCTTCCAGAGCTGAAAACATCCAATTAGTGCTAGTTTTGGTCAAAGATTAATAACAGAATCATAGAATGGCTTAGGTTGGAGGGGACCTTAAAGCCCATCCAGTTCCAACCTTGCTGCTGTGGACAGAGCTGCCATCCACCAGCTGAGGCTGCCCAGCTCTTCATCCAACCTGGCCTCGAGAGCCTTCAGATATAGGACAACCCACAGCTTCTCTGGGCAGTTGTGCCAGTGCCTCACCACCCTCTCAGTAAAAATTTTCTTCCTAACACCTAACCTAGATCTCCCCTCTCATAGTTTAAAGCCATTCACCCTTTGTCCTGTCGCAATCAGACTATGTCAAATGTTAAAGAAAATGAGCCTATCAGTCAGTAATGAATTATTATTATTTAAGAGTATGGGTTGATCAGACAGTAAAATGCTGGGTCCATTGACTCCAGCACGGACCTCCAGAGCAAGGTGCCCAGGACCACATCCAGGGCTGTAAAATCCCCAAGTAGGAGGCCCCACAGCCTCTGGGCAGCCTGTGCCAGTACTCCATCACCTGCATAGTACAGCAGTGCTGCTGGTGTTCAGAGGGAACCTCATGTGTTCCAGTTTGTGCCCACTGCCTGTTGTCCTGGCACTGGGCACCAGTGCGCGGAGCTTGGCTCCATTCTCTTTTCACCCTCCCTTCAGGAATTTATGGACATTAACAAGATCCACCTGTTGTAGTGATGAGATTTCTTCACTTGAGAGCATCATGGTGAGGGAACAGAAGTGACTGAGAACTAAATTACATGATACAAGGAAGCCAGTCTCAGCAGGGAGGTGGATCACTAGGATGGAATAGCAACGACAATTGCAAGCTTTCAAGTGGCAAGTTTGGGAGGCATTAATCTTTCGTGTTTAGGTGGTTTAAAGCTTTTGAAACCATCCTCCCCTATCAGACATGCATTCTGATTTATTGATGGTTGATACCTTAGCATTCCCAAAACTTCCTCCTGATTCCCAAGTATATTTAAAAGATCTCTTCCCACATTGCCCATGCTCATTTTTAAGTAGATCTCTTTTCTCTAGCCTGGAAGTCCAGTTTCCTTTTCTCTCAGGCACTTTTCTTCCACAGAGAACAGAATGCTTCCCATTATCCCCCTAAACTCTTGTTAGTGAATGAATTAACATCCATCTATAAACAAGAGGTCCGTAATAGAAGTGTCTTGTCCGTAGGAACAAGGAGTTGTGGGATGAATCAAAATGAAACAAATTCTAGGAATTTGCTCTATGGGAGCATCTGTCTGCTCTTAGAATCATAGAATCACAGAATGGTATGGGTTGGAAGGGACCTTCCAACCCCCTGCCATGGGCAAAGACAGCTCCCACCAGATCTGGCTGCTCACCTTGAATACAAGGCTCACCCAACCTGGCCTTGAGTACCTCCAGGGATGGGGCATCCACAGCTTCTCTGGGAACCTGTGCCAGTGCCTCACCACCCTCTTGCATTTGCTCTGGTGCAGAGCATAAACCAGCCTGTGTGTTTTATTTTATGGGGGTGTTGTGGTATCTGGGGTCTAGTTGTAGCAGCACTGAGGATTTACAACTACAAATAAAGACAGTGAGTAATTAAAAATACATCTGTTTGCTATCTGAAAAAGAGTTGTTTCACTTCAAGTTGTTTATGCTCCAAATTATACGATTAGCTCTTCCATTTATTTCTTACAGAACAACAGTACGCAGTGTTGCAAAGCCAGTTTAGTCATTCTGTGTTCATTATTACAGCTGTGGCCATATCTGAGAGTTCTCAGTTTTAAGAATGGAGTTTGGCTAAGGATGGAATGAGTTGTAAGTGAGGTTAATTGGAGGGAATGAAATATTAGGGATTCTGTGAAGGCTTCAAATGGCTTTTCCATCAGCAAGGCTTTACATGGGGGTAGACACAGGTGATGCCAGGAGGCAAAATGTCAGTGTAAGAAAAATTGTAGGATAATTGGATGGCAGCACTATTGCTAAATCTAGTCTTTAGCATCCTCTGACTCTTATTCCTCCATTCAAAACTACAATAGTAAGAGCATAAGCACTGATTAAAAATAGAGCATTAATTGTCTAGCAGCCACTGTTGGTTTGCACCTCGGTGTGCTGAGAAGGAGGGAGCACACAGCAGTCACCAAGTTTAGCAGTTTTGACCTTCAGAGTTATCTTCTGGATTTGTGACTGGTTGACTAGAATATGTTGCTGTAATTCACGTGTGGACATTTATCAGTAGTATTTGGAAAACGTGTGTTATCCTCCTTTGTGCTGAACTCTGCTGTGCTCTTCTGTGGTACTTAGGAAAAGTTTACTGGTACAGTAAATGCTAGGATGATAGTTTGAGCCTGCCTGTTTCATTTGTGTAGCAAACACTT